TTTGCTGATGGCCCTTGCAGGGAGAACCAGGCCCGTGTGTTCCCTATCACCTGCCTTGTGGACACAAGGCTCTATTAATCCATATTAATATAGCCCACGACTGGGCCACTCCTGTTGAACAAGCCCAGCTCTCTCATTGAGCCGCCATCCGGGCCGGCTGCCCCATTCTAGTCAAGGGATGGATTTTCAACCCAAGAGTGGGCCTCCTTGTTCCTATGCATTGTTAATGTTAGACCTATTTCTCCCCGTGTGGCAGGCAGGTTTTTGGACCTTCGGTCAAAGCAGAGTCTCAGATAGAGCCCTGGGGCCGTCATTAGAGGCCGGCTGACTAATCAGTACCAGGGGTGGGGGAATCTGTGAATGAGTGAGCAGGGGTAGGGGTGCTCGGAAACATTTTTCTTCGTCTCAAGGGACTTCTCCAAAAGTTATGGATGAGACCGTCTCCAGACAAGGCCCCTGACGCCTTCCCGGCCAGGCCGCTAGTTTGGGCAAGACGCCAAGCTCCTGGACAAGGTTACAGCACCCTTGCCCTGCCCTGAGTGGGCACTTGTGGTGACTGGGCTTGTGTGCCGGAGGCAGGGTGGTGGTGGGCATTTGATGTGGCGTCTCTGGGTAGGGTCTGGCCCTCCCCAGCCTTGGCATCCCTTTACTCAGCAAGCCCTTCCCAGGCCCACGCCTGTAGCTCCTGCAAGCTGCCACCAGGGGGCAGGGGTACCCGCGGCACATTTAGGCTAATCTGCGTTTAGGCGGACCTCTCCAGGGCCCAACAGCCCACCTTCCGGAGCCCCCACCCTCACCCCATGCAAGGGCGGAGTCTGAAATGGTCTGTCTTTATTATGCCAGCAGAACACACAGAAACGCCCCGCCCCAGCCCCCCAGTCCCGTGTAAACAGAAGAAATGTGCTGGTTAAGTTACCCCTCATTATCTTATTATTAACAAAATAAAGCACTATCTATGTTTACAGTCATAAAAAAGAGACAGCCTGGAGAGAAGTGGGGGATTGGAGAGGAGTTGGTGGGGGGGGGTTGCTGTGGGACGTGGGGTTCCCTTCCCAGCCTGACCCCGGGGCTGTGCTGGATCTTTGGGAGTCAGGCTCCAACAGCAAGTGATTTCCATTGGGAAGCATTTGTGTGGAGTGGGACGAGGGGGCAGGTTGGCAAGGGG